CTCTCTCTCTCTCTCTCTCTCACACACACACACACACACACACACACACACACACACACACACACACACACGTCCACAAGAACATCAACAAACAAACTACGGGCTGCGCACCCGTGCCCTCACGGTAAGTCAATTGGTGCCCCAATGGGCGACAACGGAAGCAACCCCCGTTTGCCTGGAGGTAGGTGCGCTCCTCAGGGGTGAGTTTCTTGAGGCGGGAGGGTGAGGTAGATTAGGGTGGACGGGAGCTGCAAAATCTGCGCTCTATCCTCATGAATTGGACGACATTGAGTTCCTCGGAAGTGAGGGATGAAGAGTCGAGTGAATTGGAAGATGCGTCGGGGTCAGGTGTGGTGAACTCGTCCGAGGAAGTGATGGAGGTGGTGTCTTCAGGGGTGATCTGATGGAAAAGGCGGGTGCGGGAGGGGGCGGGCGCGGGCTGGTGATGGGGGTGAAGAAATCGATCGTGGTGAAGCATGCGAGAGAGGAGGTCAACAAGGGGCATGTTGGGTTCGTGGGCGAGGGCAGTTGCAAGGTCTTTGTGGCATACTCGTTTGATGCGGGAGATGAACGCAAAGTCGGGAATGATGGTGGTGGGGAGGTGGTGGCGAAGGGAGCGGATGTATTGGACGAAGCGGTCCGTGGGACTGGTCTGGCGGAGGTGACAGAATTGTTCAAGGTAGTCATCAATGGTTTTCTGGGGGCGGAAGGTGGCAGTGAGAAGGTTGGCCCATTGGAGGAAGGAGTGACGTGGTCCTCCGGAGGCTCGGCGGTTGCTGACTTCAACCATCCATCATATCGCGCCATTGCCAAGGAGGCAGGAGGTGGCAATGGGAAGCCAGTGGACAAGGGGCATGTGATGGAGGTGAAAAGAGTTATGGAGCTGGGTTAAGAAGAGGAAAATGTCCTCGTGGGGGAGGCCGGAGAAGGATGTGATGTCGACGGATCGGAAGGAACGGGGGATTTCCCCGTCGCGGGGAACGATCCGGGCGAGGGTGTTGAAGCTGAGGTTATCGGGGGTGGTGTCGTAGCAGGTGTGGTCGATTTGGTTGTTGTCCTCAAGGAGGTAGTTGGGGGGGAGTTGTGGCATTGCGGGG